ACTAGCTCAGCCTTCTGCTCGACACCCTTAGGTCGGTGCTCAATATTTGATATGCTCATCGTCTGTTGATCGGACTGAGTCGGCCTGTGACTTCCAGAGAAGCCTCTTGGGGCTGCAGCGAGCTTAACCTTCTTGAATGTATCTTGATAGCAGGCTCTGGCCATCTTCTGGTTCCCCTTAAGCACTCCTACCCCTTGAGGAGTTGGGAACTTTATACAAAGATGAGGTTGCGAGATGACAGCCTTTAGCTCGTAGGGGGTGGCTCTTTCTAGTATAGCATTGAAGGCTGACTCCATTTTAACGACTAGAAAGCTGACTGAAGCCATCCTGAAGCATGGTTCTGAGCCCACATAGATGGGAAGTGTAATTACTCCCTCGACCGGGACGGGTTGGTTATCAAACCCATAGATGGGCCTTTCATACTTTTGTAGTGAGCTCGGATTCAATTGCATCTTTTGAAAACAGCTCCAATACAGGATGTCTGGAGAACTACCTATATCAATGAAGACCTTGTTGACGTTATGATTGCCTATATGGACCGTTGCTACAAAAGGATCTGCATGAGGCATCATAACGTCGAGCTCTCCGTCTGCTCGCTTATAGTCTGCCGAGCCGAATGTAATAGGTGCATTTTCTCATTCTGCTTCTTCAAATGGATGCTTAAGAGGCCGGTTCTTGTTTACCGTCATTACTTGGCGAGCATATGCCTTGCGACCTTGAGCACTCTGGCCTCCCGAATGCACACCACCAGAAATCATATTGATTGTGCCAGATGGTGGGGGTATCCCACTATATCCAACCCCTCTGTGATCCTTTTGATTCTGTGTGGATGTTTTCTATCCCTGCCCTCGCCAATTGAATCGATGTCCCCTATATGTTTTGTTCGGCTCAGACGGGTATTGACTTGCCTGGTAAAGGATTGGATTGTTGCCGAGCTGATTTCCCTGTACTTGAGATCGACCGTACTCTTGCACGAAATGGGTTTAGGTGGGTTGCCGAATGTAAGGCTTCTGTACATACCTCTCCAATTTTCCATTGCGAGCTAAGAATTCAAGCTCGTCCTTCAGGCTCTGACATTCTTCCGTGTTATGGCCGTATCCACGGTGGTAGTCACAATACTTGCTTTTGTCAACTCGTGAAGAATCGTGCGTTTGGGGAGGGGGTCTCTTGACCTAGTGTTGTATCTGCGCCAATATCTGGGACCTTAAGGAGCTCAAGGGAATGTAACTGTCATATTTTGGATAGGATGACAGTTTTCCTCTCTGCTCGCCAACTTTCTGCTTTTTCTTTTCATCTCTTCCGTCAGGCTGCCTGGGCTCTTTACCCTGTTTATCATCAGCTCGTCGCTTAGAAGATTGAAAATCTTCAGATAGTATGAAACTTGCCGACTTGTCATTTACTTCATTCCATGACTTAGGTGGATTCCCCAGCAGGTTGTCTAGAAATCGGCCAGGTTTAAGGCCATGCAACAAAGCTGATAAGCAGATGGTATCTGGGACATTATCGATGTCCAGAGTGGACTTGTTGAACCGTTGCATATAGTCCCTTAAAGACTCTCCCTGCTTCTGATGAACTTGCATCAGCTAAGTAGCGGTGCGCTTAATTTCTCTTTGACTCGTGAACTTGTTTGAAAACAGAGTGGCGAGCTCAGAATAGGAGGATATGGAATGTCTAGGTAACTTGTGGTACCATCTTCTGGCCGTTGATTTCAAGGTTGCAGGGAAGGCCTTACACATCATGGCATCAGTGGCGTTCTGGATCCTCATAATGGCTTGGTAAGTATGCAAATGCTCATACGGGTCTCTGAAGCCATCGTATGTCTCCAAATGAGGAATCTTAAATCCCTCTTAATATGGTTCGGCCGTAATGGACAAATTGAGGGGGGCACTATCCAAGTCAAGAGCCTGCTGGCGTGACCGGGGACTTTTTAGCTCGTCAATAGACTTTTGCACGTCTTTGAGCTGTCTTTCGAGGTCAACATTTTTCTTTAGCAGCTTTTCATTATGCTTGGATGAGCTAGGTTTTGGGTTCAACTTCCCACTTCCCCTTAGTCTGGTTGGGACCACCACGTTGCTTAGGGTCGGGGAGTCACGGGTTACAACTACTGCAACTGGTTGTGCATCCCTATTCAGCAAAGGAATCAGGGGGTCATCAGGGATCAGGTGGGAAAGGATTTTACCCATTGCCATTTCGAGAACTCTGGTTCTCTCTTCGAGCTCGGTTGTCCGAGCAGGCTCTGTTGACCTTTCAAGTCGTTCATGTTGTGGACTGCCTTGCCTGGGATGTCTTCGCCTTGTTCCTGTTGGAATTTGGAACTGTTCAGGCTGAGTTGCATACCCAGTTGGTGTCCTTTCATTGTCATCTGTCCCACTTAGTTGATCCTGTTCTGCTCCTCCAACAAAAAGGTTTCTCGGCATTGGCCTAAAATCATTCAAGCCAAACTTAGATAGCTGAGTGTCCTCCTGCTCATCCATTTCATTTCTCGGAGGGCGACTTCTAGTAAAGGTACGGACCATTTTGTCTTTCAGCAGATTAAGCTACACAACTTCTTGCTCAAGTTCCCACAGACGGCGCCAAATGTTTGGGCAGCTTCGCGATCCAACACTGTTGACGTCCTCGACTGCTTCCACACCTGAAATTCCCAAAGATGTTTCCTCGGGGAAAACACTCCGACGCTCAAGTCAGCAATACTCGATATTCTAGAGAGAGATGCTCTCAAAGAGTAATTGCAGAGAGAGAAGCGTAGAAATTAATTACCTTCATCGGAGGTAATTGGGGGATATTTATAGCCCTAGATGCTGACATGCATCTGTACATGTAAGTATTTCATTGGCCTACGTGGTGCTGCTCACGTGGGTATGCTTGTATTGGTGCTCTCTCACTTTGGGCTAACGGGTGGCAGCCTAAGCCCATTATGTACAGCCCAAGTTGAATGTTGGGCCTATTCCAACAGTGGGGAATGAAATGAAAGAGAAACTCTACATAAAAATAAAAGAGATTTTTTTGTTGTGATCATGAAAGGGGAAGAATAGTTCCTGTAACTGAAAATTTTTACTAGTCAGTTTCGTGTAGCTTTTAACATTTTTCTGTATTAACAATAACTGCGTCCCACTTAGCCTCACTGCATTCCCGGACTAAGCGAAACGCTTCTTCACAGGATGCAGACTCCAATATACATTGTAGTTGCTTCACAATTTTCCATTTCCTGTAAAAAGATAAAGTTTTATAATTAAATGATTATAATTGTCAAATTAATATAAAAATTAAAGTTTATAATTTTTATAAATAAATATTTTAATTTAATAATTAATTTTTTCCAATATTAATTAAAATATAAATTTTTAAACACATTGTTTAAAAAAA